GGGAAGAAGGAAGAAGGAAGAAGGAAGGAAGGAGGGAGGGAGGGAAAGAAGGGAGAGAGGGAAGAAAGAAGGAAAGGAAGGAAGGATAGATCATTTATAGAGAGATCAATAGATCGACAGACAGATCGACAGAACGACAGTGACATGGGACTGTCTGTCGACCAATGTGTTGATCCTCCTTTGGGCGCCTTCATTCATTCCTTGCGCTCCAGACTCCGCTTCCATAAACTTAAGGAAGCCCCTCAAGGCCACCTCTCTCTCGGTTTGAACCTACTTCGGATCAGTCTGTTGGTGGCTTTAGGATCACAGCTGGCCTCGGGAGGCATCCACACTGGAGAAATAAAGCAGGCTGACCCCACTTTAACGCACCATCCTTTGGAATCTTAGGATTTGTAGTTTGGTCAGCTCTTTAGCCTGGCCTGTCAGAGAGCTCACCACACTAGAAATCCCAGGAGTTTGTAGGATAAAGTCACGGCAGTTAAAGGGGGAATCAAAGTGCTTTATCGCTGCAGTGTGGACACACCCAGCCTGATCCTAAGCCATGCTTTTTCGGAATGGGAGCTTTAAGGATGGCGCCCTGGGCATCTTTTTGGGAGAAAGTGCATCTATTTTTCACTTTGGGGAGATGCTCGATCCTGGCATATTGAAACTGTGACCAAGCATCCCTTTAACGCAGGCTGCATCCGCACTGCGGAAACAATCCGGCCTGACACCACTTTAACTGCTATGGCTCAATGCTATGGGATCTTGGGATTTGTAGTTTGTTGGGCCACCTGATCTCTCTGACAGGGAAGGCTAAATGTTCCTGTCTACAGGACTACAACTCAGAATTTCCATACCACTGAGCCATGGCAGTTCAAGCGGTGTCAAACTGGATTATTTCTGCAGTGCGGATGCAGCCCCAGTTAGAGAAAAGGAACGAAAGCCGTGAAAAGGAACGAGATCGGTACTTGAAAGTTTGGGAAAAGCACTAGATGAATCAATAGACTGATCCTTAGACCTATAATAGAGTATCTTTCGCTTTTCGATCGATCCTTTGTCTCAAAAGTCACATTATTCTCACAAAGTCGCAAGGAAGGTCAGGACAAAACATCTCCAAAGGACGCTTTCTTTTTTGGAAAAGTAACGGAGAAAGTCGTCCATGATTGATCTGCTGCGACTCCGGCTCCGAGCCAAGCTAGGAAATCATGAACTGTGGGTTTGTCTTCATCTGAGGCTGAGAGAGTGT